AATCTACACGATTCACAGTTCCCGTAACTGCTTACTATGACTTCTCTGGCCAATCAATGATTTTGGAGTAACCATCTACCACACTCACGATGGACTACTACCTCCACAGCAATCAACAAGGACTCTTGCAATCTGCTGTCACAAAGAACAGTAGCCAGACTATAGTTATACAACTTTGTAATTTCATCTTCCCTAATTCATGAGAAGAATGTACCTATGTACTCATCATTCATAGTGGACTATTTCAACTGGGCTAGGCCCCGTGATTTTTCACCCTTTCAAGGGTTTTCCACGTAAAAGTTGACGTGTCTCCCCCTGCTTACTTATTTTCTTTTCTTTTATCTATGTGTGTTGAATTCTCGTGTAACGTTAACACCATAATCCATTACTCTACTGTCGCGAATTTTCTAGCACGTATCAATTATTAATTGGTACAATTAATAAAATATTAATAATTAATTATTTAATTTTAAACTATTACTTAATAAATAACTAGTTTAGCAAAATTATATTTAATGACCAATTAGTTTAATGAATATTAATTAATGATTAGTATAATTAAAAATAAAATTTAAATTAAATTTAAATATACATAATAATTATATCATTAATATCTAATATTAAATTTTTATATCTACTAATACATTTAAATCCCTTTAAAGTAATAAAAATATTATTAATAATTAAACATAATTAACAAATTATAAAAAAATCGCTTAATAGATTAATTAATCAAATGATTTGCTATTAATGATTAATTATTTAACATTAAAGGATTCATATAATAAAATTAATTAATTTCTATTCTAATAATGAAATTATCAAAATTTAATTTTGTTTACATATTTTAATAAACATAATAGACTCTTAAATCTTAACAAAAAAAAAATAAAAAATGATTTTACAAGATTTAATTAGATTTATTAAATTCATTGTCAAATAATTTTGAGATTTATCTTTTTCAGGATTTATTAAATCAACATTTACAGGATTTAGTAAACCCAAAGTTCTCGTACAACTCCTAGTATTTTGTTACATAGATTTTTTTCTGATGTTAGCTTCCATAAAAGATGCAAGGGGGTGATGGCTTTCTTAAAGGCCAAGATTGTTATAGAGTACATGTTAGTGGGGATGTCTTGATTCAAAAGCTTTGATAATTGTGAATGAAAGCAATGATGATACTAACAATATGTAATCAAACACCACAACAATGAGAACTAATGGGTAATATATTGCTAATATTTTTGAAAAAAATAATACAAAATCAAATTTCTATCTAGAGAGAACTTATGATGGATTATTGAACATTGCATGCTAGGTGAATATTTACAATAGAATATTAAACATAATAATAGGGCATATTTTGACATATTTGACATTGATTAACTTAATATTTGCTAAATCTCATAATAGGGCATTTTTTTGACATATTTGACCTTGATTAACTCAATATTTGCTAAATCTCAATTAACAATTGTGGTTGATAATATGAAGGTGCTAAACAAAGAAGAACTCAAATATAATCATTAAACTAATTATATGTAAGAATTTAGACTCATAAGTGAGTGATTATTAAATGTGAAATCTAATTCCAATAATTATCCTTAAAAAAATTAATCTTACTTTTTTTCAAGATTTCTAATAACCACAAAGAATTTATAGCGGCTATCAAAAAGTTATAAACAAAGCATATTATAAAAGTTTAAAATAAAGACTATAAAAATCTTCAATAATTATTTATGATAAAATTTAAGAGATGAAGGTTTCACTGTATAGTGATTATTAAGTTTCCTTCTTCTAATTCTTTAGGGAAAAGTCTAGCTCTTATCTATATCAATATCTTATATTTTGTGGATATAGATTTACACAAGTCAACCTACATAAATTCTAGTGCTCTTTTATGACTTTTGGCCTCTCATATATAATTAACATATGATAAGATGATTCATTGAATACTTTTCTATAATTATGCCCACTTTCTTACTCTAACTTAAATTGCTTGTGGAAAAAGTTTATTTTTAAGACAAAATTTCTACTTTTATGTCCTAATTCATCTATTAAGCCTACGGACCACATGTGAACATAAAGAGAAAACAATCTCCCATATAAAAATTCTCAAATATAGGAAATAGGAGATAATTATATTTTTATTGTGAAATATCTTCTAATTTAAAAATTTTTAGGGGGTATTTGGATTCATAGCATGCAAATATTCCCCCAAAATGTGAGAGCGAATACCTATTCCTCATTATTTATTCACATACCAATCCAACTTTCAAAATCATAAGAAATCCACATCTCACCCTATTGATCCTTTCATTGCCATCCATTATGATGCTAAAGAAGACCAAGATATGACAAGTGACCAAGTCATTATTGTGGGCTCATTATAATAAAATTATGTTCAAACAATTGTGATAAAAAATTTATTTTTTTTTATAAATTTATAAATTTTGAATTTTATTTAAATTTAATACTGTCAGTCTGTCATCATCGGGTCTCAAGTCTTGCATACTAAAAATATGAGGGTTACATTATGTAGTCGACAATCAAGATAGAAATTTTGTCAAAAAAATATAACTACTAAATATCACTTTAAATAATTTTTTGAAAATATCAATTAATTTTCATGAGCAATTTTAATCTCTAAATTTCAGGTCAAGTCATATTTTTATGCTTGCATTAGTTGGAAAATTAATGATGCCAAAGACCTCCTCCTTAGTCTCCATTTGCGGTTCTTCCTTTTTGCGACGACTTGTTTGACCAAAGCTTTGTATAATTGTTAGTTTTTTTTTTTCATTTTAATATATTATTAAGAATTAATTTTATTTTTACTTTCAAACATATAAAATCAATAGGAAGTGTCGAGGTCTCAATCTTTAAAATTTTAATTCATTCATTTATTTCTTGCCGACAAGTTTGTTGCTTGGTGTCACAATTAATGCATGCAAAACAAAAGTCGAGCCACTAGGTTTTAGGATGAATAACCTGCATGACATCTAAAGTTTATTTTTTACGTATATGTCGTCTTATATGTCCCTGAAAAGATACATTTCACTCTTTAAAAGTTAAAATAGTGACCTTCTTGATGTTGCGTGAATGATCTGAGCGGTATAAATGCAATATATATATATATATATATATATAGGTGATCCATCTATAAATACATAAGATTGGATGATATGGATATATTGATTTGTGTTTAAACAACAAATCAGTTCAGAAAAACAAGAAAAAAAGAGCAATGCCTAGAAACTTATTAATGAAATAAAATTATTTAAAATCAAATTTAGAATAATATGTAAATTTATAGAAAATAAAGAAGAAAATTTAGAACCGCTAGCTGCCGAAGACACGGATTAGAAGAGAAGACAACGCGTGTCAAGTTTGATGGCGACAGAATAACTCAAAACGTTCTGCAAGTCTTGTTAGAGAGTCAAAGTTGAAAAAAATTCTAATTATTATTTTTTAATTTAACGATAAAATTTTTAAAATTTAATATACCATTATCTATTTATGTCGTAATTCTATAAGCTAATGGGTTATAATGTATATTACTTTTATCAAATAATTATTCCCTTTGGGTCTTATTCATCACAAATTAATTCTAAGGATCTGCCTTTCGGGCAGCATTGGTGCGGGCCGGTGGCTACGCTTTGCCACACCAAACGTTTAGGGGAAAGCAAAAACTGTGTTCTGCAATACTTTTTTTCAAAAAATTAGTTTGGGAAGCTATTTTTTGCAAATAAATTAAGTGTGTTACACTTTTGATAAGCTACCAACAAATTTTAATCATTTAACACGAATGTTGATATGGATCCTAAGATGATATTTTGAGCAAGAAACTTTCAAATCCTGATAAAAGTCATCCAGAATTCTGATTTCAGCAAACTTATCATCAAACGGACGGACTTGATGAGACGAACATAATGATATCAAAGCCAGACCAATCCAAGTTAAATCAAGACAGAATCAAGTATCAAACCCCATATAGAAGATCTTCAGACACATTTGAAAGGCCAAGTAGATGCTGAATTTGACAAATTCATAGTCCAATCGAGCGTATCAACTATAAGCCATTAAAAAAAATCAAATCGAGCGTAACAACCTCCGTTGACCTCCACCAACCATCGTTAACTACCGCTAATCACTTTTGATCATCATCAATCACTGTCAATTGCTACCAATCAGACGCTGTCACTAGAAGCTGTGTTATGAAAAATATAATTCCTCATTCATTACTGTTTGTTTCTCATTCGGGGTAAGGGATTTCTGTAATCATCTATCAAAAGTGGATTTTTGCAACTGGGCAACTTAAAAACTACTGTAGTCGTTACTGTTTGTTTCTCTTTTAATCTCTGTGTGTGTTAAATACTTGTATGATGCTAAGACGATAATCCGTTACATTACCGCCAATGGTTTTCTAGCCTGCATCAACTCTGATTTTTTGAAAGTATAATAAATTTGTAACATCCACTGCAACTTTGAGAACAATTATTTATTCAGCTGTTTCTTCGAATACATGCAGCTGGTACAAAGGAAACTGGATTTATTCAAAAAGTAAGATCACAAGCAGCCATCAAACTTAACCATTTTAAGTTGTAAAATGCAACTTTTTTATCAGAACTTTTTTGAAAAAAATGAGAGACCGAAAAAACGGCTTCGTGCTTCAAATATTGTCAGCCAATGTAAAGACTTCTAACAGTGACACAAATTATAAAACTTAAATTTTAAAAACAATTATTAAATTTTGTTTCGACTATTCTTGACGAGCATTTGGCTGCGGATATAATAAATTTGAGATTTTTAGTCATAATTGAGAGGAAATTAAATTTATTTAAATTTAGTATATAAAAATTGACTTTTTTTCTCTACACCTCTGAGAAGAGAAGCCGCAAACAAGAGAAAACTGTTTCTCACAGGGAGAAATTCAGTTTTTTATTTATTAATAATGGCGAAAAGAACAAATAGCACTCAAAATAGCAACATCTCAAACTAGCAACATATGACCACCAATTCATCAAAATTTAAAAAAAAAAAAGAAAAAAAAAGATTACAGCAGAACAATCGAGCCTAAGAACAAAGTAAAAATCCCAACAGATAGTCTTGAGACAGAGAGAATTTGAGCTGAGGATGGAGTTGGAGTTGATGTCGAATTGGAAGATGGAGTTAGTGCCGCCGGAACACCGCCGCTGTCGCCACCACTGCCTCCTGGTGCAGGAGAAGAAGGAGGAGGTTGAAACCCTGATGCACCCGGACCATCAGCAGGGGCTACAGGAGAAGCTGAAGTAGGCGACGGAGATTTTGCTTGCGATGGAACAGGGGATGTGGTAGGAGAAGAAAAGGAAGAAGGAGAAGCAGAAGGAGAAGAGGTCGGAGTTGCGATCTCCGGGGCTTGAGAAGGGGAAGAGGATGGAGTTGCAATCTCCGGAGCTGGAGAAAGAGAAGAGGTTGGAGTTTCAGCAGCTGGAGCAGGGGAAGGTGATGATGTTGGAGGTTTTACAGCAGGAGCTGGTGAAAGAGAAGAGCTCGGAGGCTCAATCGCCGGAGCAGGAGAAGGAGCCTTCGATGGAGTAGATGAAGATGGCGGCTTTGCACCTGGAGCAGGAGATGGAGCTGGTGTTATCGGAGAAGATGGTGGTGGCTGGACGGGCTTATGCCTCACCGCCATGACTACAACAATCAACTTCTGCCCTTGCGCGCAGTGGCCATCTGCACCGCTGATAAAGAAGAAAGGACCCGATCTGTCAAAAACAAACACAGTTTTTCCATCTTCAAACCTCTTGATCGGATTCTTTGTGTTGCAGGAATCGTAGTCTTCCTTGTCCACAATAAGAACAGAATCTTCTCCTTTCTTATAATTAAAAACTGCAAAACCCAACAAACAAAGCATAAAAATTCAAAATTTCAGTAAGACAATCATTAATTACCACCAAAATCTGCATCGATGAATCAAAGGATGGGTGTTAGGTTATTACTAAGCTTATCTTTTACTTGAAATCTCATCCTCTCAGCCCAACTATTGTACTTTTCAGCTGGTTTCCGCACCCAGCCATTTCTTCCCCCCACGTAGAAATCATAGGCCTCGGTGAAGTAAACAGAGCATAAGAAAAAACCGGCGAGAAGAAGAAGCCGCGCCGCCATTAACGAGGGAAAATTGGGTTCCAGCTGTTAATGGAAGATATTTAGAAAGCAGCCAAAGAGGACGACCAGAAGCGAGAAAGCAGAGTCCAAATTACTACTAGTAGAAGAAAGTTCTGCCGGAGAGCGGATATATATAGACCGGCCGCATAGTTACCGTTGTGCGGACTTCCGTTACCAAGAAGCTGCTGGGAGCTAACGGTAACTTGGAGAATATTTTAGCTACGCTTGGATTTACTTTAAAATTCGCGCTAATAAACCTATAGAAGCACCCTCGGATTTACCTCGTTTTGGAAGGCAAGCGGCGCACGGGACCAGAAAAGGGAATTTCCAAAAGGAAGCTTTCTGGGCCGAAAAAAAATTGAGAAAAATATGCTAATAAAAGTTTTTCTTTTTTTTTTAAAATTAAGATAATTTAAATTTGGAAATTTACATAAACACCACTCAATTCCTTTTTATTTACATATAAATAAAAATTGCAATGATCACTTTTAAAACTAAATTATATCTTTTTCATGCATTGTTTCAAAGCAATAGAGTGCTATGTTAGTAAATATGAAATTTTAGTTGGAAGATATGTAAATACATGAGAATCATGTGCTACGTACGTAAATTTCCCAAAATGTTAATAATTTCAGACGAATCATATTAATATATATATATAATTTAATTGACAGAAGTAGCAGAACAGCTGATATCTGGATGATACGTCTGTTATATTAAAGATTTAATTACGAGATTAATTTCTCCTTTGTTTGGCGTGCACTAATTAAAACATTTAACTTTATTAGGAAATTATTTTATGGTAATAATATAAATAAATAATTGGAGAGCGGTGTTAGAAGGCAATTTATGATATTAATTGTTCCTATGCCTTCGCCAATCAATTCACCATTTTATGTTTTGTCACTTCCCATGTAATTTATTTGATAAAGATTCTTAAAGCTAGAAAGATTTACATGCATGCCACTCATTTTTATGTATTTACCTTTCTATCTTTAAAAGTTGAAAAGTGATATTTTTGATGTGATATGAAAGATTAGGAGGGTATGAATGTAAAAAGCGAGATTTAGGTGATAAATACGTGTATGAATAAGAACTGGCTCGTATGTATGTTAAATGTCGAAAAAAAAACCTATTGTTACTGATAGGACATTAGATGTGTTCCACATGTAATTTATATGTTTTGCTTTCACATTCCATATTAAAAAAGCAAATCACCTTGGCTTGGTGGTTGAGAGCTTTATTTTTTAATCATAAGGTTATAGGTTTAAAGTCTTGCATATGCAGTGTGTGCGCATAAAAGGGATGCAATATTTAACATTGCTGGTTATCATAAGTATGAAAAATGTTTTAGGTTATTATGAATAAGTTTGGAACAAGTTTGAAATACACCTAAATTTTATAAGTTTGAAATACACCTAAGTATAGAGTATCATGAAGCTTTATAGAAAACCTATTAAGACTATGCTACAATCTTACCTATATCAAAATCATCATCACACATAGACCTACATTTTAATCAACTCCTTTTAGATCGATGCCTGTCATATACAAATCATTTTCTTTAGAATTGTATTATAACAACACTAATACTATAATTATCACTTTCCAATCATGTGCCATAATCTCACTTAGAGCTTCAACAATCTCCATCAATACTTAACACAATAATCTCATTTACATTATATTCATCTCCTTTAAAATTTAATGTAGGCTCAATTGTATTATGACATCTACTTTAAAAAATCAACATATTTAAAACTATAACATAACACATTGCACCACTACAATCTTTTTCTATATATGTTTCATACTAATATTTATAGCATAATTATTGCTACCTCTAAACTTACAATACAACCTTGCTTGAGTTATATCTATTATTTTTTAGATATATGCAATAACATCAATCACATTGAGATAATATTCTTTAAAAACTAAGGCATTATTTGTTTATGTAGTAAACATTATGACCATCATCATAATCTTACTTATATTATAATCATCTCTTATAATACTCGAGTTAAAATTCTACCAAAAACACATCCATTTTTGCATTCAATCTTATATCACAATCTTGCTTGCGCCAAATTCACCACCATTTAGTCTTACGCTTAAAAATTTTCAATGTCATGTTATGAATAAGTTATGTATATGAATAAAATTTGGTTGGTATGTAGAGTTGTAAACGAGTTTGAGCTTGAGCGAGCTCAGACTTGGCTCGTGTTCGGCTCGTTTGAAACTGCTCATGTTCGAAATCGGCTCGAGTTTGAAATTGACTCGTGAACAGTGTGTTCGTGTTCGGCTCGATTTAAATGTTCGTGTTCGTTTTCAGCTCTTGTTCGACTCGAAATTGGCTCGTTAAAATTAAATTGAAAAAAAAGTAGATGTAAAGTATTGGATTCGAACATGGACCAAATGTATGCAAAAGAAACCACTAACCACGTTACCGCACGAAGTGTTATGTTTTGAAACTAGATATAAATATAATATATATATGTAACTTGGAGA